GGAGGCTGTTCCAGAAGTGACCCCCTCTGACTGATAGAACGGTTTGTCCAAAGGTTGTTCTTCTTCTGTGGGTGATTTTTCCTCCAGAGTCCCGAAAATGATGCCGTAGAGCAGGGGTGCTCCCACTTTTTCAGTGTGGGAGCTACTGTTGTACACATTCAGATATACCTGATAACAGCCAGTAGAAGACTACACCAAAATACAGTGGGGGAAATAAGTATTTGACCCCTTGCTGATTTTGCAGGTTTGCCCACTTACAAAGAATGCAACAATCTATAACTTTAATCGTATGTACATTCTAACAGTGAAAGACAGAATCCCAAAGAAAATGATGAGGAAAAATAAGCATTAAGCACCGATAGTACCTTAGAGATCGACTGGTAGATCGCACCTCTGCCGTAGAGGTTTCTGGGAAAGTCAGATTTGTGACCGAGTATTCCCTAAAGCGGATGTCCTCAACAAGGGGTTCTCGACCCCTAGGGGGTCCTGGTCGTACTGCATGGGGGTCGCGAAAGTTTTGGTTGATTCGACTTTTGTTTTTGTATTCTGCCCCTTTAATATTCGACTAATGTAAATGTCTTTAAATCCACATGAACATGAATCCAACAGACTGTAGTAAACAGATAAATGGAGGCAGAAGATGTCTTCCAGTCATCAACGCTCACATTCAGCCACACACAGGAGCTCTATCTATCTATCTATCTATCTATCTATCTATCTATCTATCTATCTATCTATCTATCTATCTATCTATCTATCTATCTATCAAACTGGAGCTCTTTCAAGTTTGGCACCGTTTCATTTCATTCACAACACCTGTCCCTTCAACCAGAACCAGATGTTTACAACAAAAACAGGAAAATACTGTATGAACCTGTGGATTATCTGAATATCTTAGTATTGAATACCCAATAACAAGGGACATTTACACACTATAGGACCAGTTTGATACAACACAATTTCATAAAATATATATAATTAGGGGGTTCCCCCTCCATCTCACCTTCAGTTTGGGGTTCCTTGGCCTGTAAAACCTTGTAGACCCCTTCCCTAAAGTGATACGAACCCCTATTGGACCCTTTTTGATAACTCTCTCTTGTTCCGCAGGAGGTGCCGAGCCGGCATATGCTGACTCAGCGGAGGAGCTCCCCATCGGATCTATGAAAGTGCCTATCCTCATCTTTCCCAAGCCCGGGGGGGTCCCTCCCACGGGGATGGAGTGCCCCCCCTTTCACGACATCAAAGGGTCCCACCACATGCTGTCCTCGAAGGCGGGCGGCAGGGCCCACTCTCTGGACGACTCGCCCTCCATCAAGCAGCGTCTGGCCCAGAGGCTGAACGAGAAGAAGGGCCAGGACGCCGACCCGGGCATGTCCCAGTCCCTGAACCTGCTCAGCCCCCACAGCAAGGGCAGCACGGACTCGGGCTACTTCTCCCCGTTCGACAGCGCCGAGCTGCAGATGAGCGCGCCCAA